TCTTGTATTGATAACAACGACAATCAAGGAACATTTGATCAGATTTTCATCTCTGTGGAAGTAATTTCCAATTGTCAAGAAGAATCAGAAATTCAACTGGAGGATTCTTCCACCGATAACAACAGCAATATATCAACTGGAAATGAGTAAAAAGTGGTGCAGACAGCAAAGTATTCATCCATAAAAATTTTTCGCTTTTAACGGCATTTTTCGGAAATTTCGGATTTTTTTCGAATTTTTTCGCTATAATATTGGGAAAATAGACAACTTTTCGAACATTTTAATGCAATAAAAATTTTTGGTCGGAGTCCCCCTTTAAGGTCATTTGAATGTTAGGGTTTTTGAAGCCAAAAATTCGGTCATTTGGATGCATTTGAGCAGATTTTCAGAAAAAAAAAAGTAGAAGACAATATTTTACAACTTAAACTATTCATACAAATTCTGAGATTTGTACTTTTTTTCAAAAAAAAACTTATCTTACAAATTTCCGTTAATTAACACAGTTATGGACTTTTCATACATTCAAGAAAAGAGCATTCGAAACTCATGCCTTTAGTAGATTTCCAACAACTTCCGCAATTTTTTCATACAGAGTGAAACATATTACATAAAGTCTTCCGGTTATTCGGTTTCAATAACAGTCACCGATTTTCATTTAGATGTACTCCTGAAGAATTCGATCGATGGGATAACAACCTAGATTCATCCTTCAGGCTATGGATCCCCTGAAAATGAGTTCCCCTCGAAGTACATTCCTTTTATGTGCCCCGGAGCATGGATGCAAAAAGTATTTAAAAAGGGACGGAATTCTAGCAAATGAGACAAAATTCTAACAAATGAGACAATTCTAGCAAACGAGACACGCTAGCAAATGAGTCAATTCTAGCAAGTGAGAGCAAATGTCATCAAGAAAATGAGTATTTGCCATAGGCACCGCAATGAAAGGGGGCGGGGCGACCAAAATTTTCTCCCCTTTTCAGAAACCCATCTTTGAAGCCTTGTACCGGACGTTAGTACCTCATTATTTTTAAGGTTAGAACTTTTTCCTATGTAATCGGCTACGAAAAATCGAATGAAACTATCAGTTTTCCGATATTTTCATTATTTTGATTCGAAAACTGCGAAAAATAGGAGTGGGACTGAAAAATTTGACTGAGTGTTGGATGAAAGTGAGTGCCATCAGATTTTTTGATGGATTCTGGTAGTTTATGAACTGGGGGATTGGATTTTAAAATAAAATCAAAATTCTACTGGAGCGAACAATTCACAATTTTTAGCCAAAGTTCCAGCCAAAATAAATAAAAAGTTTCAGCGATGACCCCAAAATGTTTGTGCATTTTATGGTAAAACTGAGCATTGTGTACACCTGTGCCAATTTTCAGAAAGATCGGTTATTTATAAGTAGTTTTAAAACTCAAATTTCCCACAAAGGACAATCTTAAACAAAACATTCTACTGGAGCGAAAGTATTTTTATATGTCGGTTTCCTTATCTTTCATAGCGAAATTTAGTTTAAAAACCACCGGAAGGAGTAGACAGGCAACGAACAATTTTTTTTTGAAATTGTCTCTATTTTCTTTCGTTTTTCATAGTTTTTGCTCAAATTTTCGTGGTAATTAATCGAAAAAATTACTTTTATAATTTTTGTAGTGTTTTATTGCCCTGTTCAAACAATTTTCGAAAGAAAATAGCTCATTTTGGGCAAATTTTTGGGATTTCTGAATTTTTGTGGGAAAATCACTGAATTTTGATTGTTTCCTTCATTCAATAATCTAGAAAAATATGAAAAAATGAGAACATTTCAATTACCACGAAACTTGAGAAAAATTGAAAAATTTGGAAAAAACCGGAAAATTGGGCAAAAACGAAGGAATATTGAAAACAAAAGGAAATGAAATAGAATTGAGAAAAAACAATTAAGAAAAATTGGTAGTGAGGGAAGTATGGACTGGGCTTTAAAACCTAAATTAAACATCAAAATCAAAAAGAACAATCAAAAGACAATGAGAAGTGAAAATTTTCTGCCGTAATTTTTGAAAATTCAGAAATTTTGAGATTCTGAAGTTCTGAAATTCTGAGGTTTTGAGGTCCAGAAATTCTGAGATTCTGAAATTCGGAAGTTCTCAGATTCTCAGTTTCTGAAGTTCCGAAATTCTCAGATTCCGAAATACTGAAATTCCAATTTCTGAAATTCTAAGAATTCTGAGATTTTCAAGCTCTGAAATGCAGGAATGCAGAAACTCCTTTAAAAAAACTGTACCCCCGAATCACAAGCGTTGTACCCCTGTATGAAATGGGTTGTACCCCAGAATCATTGGTAGTTTTCACCCCCGAATTTTTGTACCTACTAATTTTGTACCCCCGAATCACCAATTTTGTACCCCTAAATCAGTTGTACCCCCTTGTACCCCCAAATTTTTTGCCAACTATAGGCTTAGGCCGAAAGTCTTGTTTCTTTTGGTACAAAAGCCAATATAAAAATTTCGTTTTTCAAATAAAAATAAAACTTCATTTTCAACAAATGATATCAATTTTCCAACTCTTTTTTCTTCTTCTCCACGTAGGCGGCATACGACTTCTGATTTTGCTCCGATTGAGTCTTCATAAACTTTTCCACATCCAAAAACAACTTGGTCACGTCATGAATAGCATCCTGGAAACTTGGTGATTCTCTCTTCCCAAAAGAAATATAGGCCGTCTCTCCAATTTTTGAAATCCCATCAATGGCTTGAGTTGAGAGCCCTGCTGCGACGAGCTCCGCACGGTATTCATCGCCTGGAAAAATATGCCACATGGTTCCAAATTTAAAATAGTCATAATTTGAAAGCTTCCGATATACAGAACAGTTTTTAAGGTTTGGAGTTATTAATTTTGAGCCGAAGTTACATCCATTTTAGTTTGGTGTCCTAGTTTTGGATTTATAGGTAGGCACCACAACATAATTTTCAAAATAGATATTTTCTTATTTTTATTGTTGGATTCTCTTCACCACTCTTATAGAAGTCCATTCCCAAAATTTCAGCGAAAAATCTTTCTCCAGACACGAGTTACAGACCCTTTTCTATCAGACCTCAATGTACTGACTTTCTCCTCATTTTTTTGCGGTGCGCAGAAAAGTGGGCGGGGTTTAGAAGCTTGCAATCCTGCGGCGCGAAAAATTCGACGAGGAAATTAAAGAAAAAGACAATAGACACAAGAGGGATTCGAACTTCCGGCTAAAGCCCTAGAGTGGATAGAGGAAAGGGCGACTGTTCGTTGCCTGTCTACTCCTTCCGGTGGTGCCTCCTTCCTGTTTTTAAACTAAATTTCGCTATGAAAGATAAGGAAACCGACATATAGAAATACTTTCGCTCCAGTAGAATGTTTTGTTTAAGATTGTCCTTTGTGTCAAATTTTGCGTAGAATCTTATGGTGAAAAGAAAATCGGAAGCACTCACCTATGTCACCCTCAAAACTTCCAAAAACCGAAAATTTTGAAAATTATGAATTTTCGGATGAGTTTTAAAACTACTTATAAATAACCGATCTTTCTGAAAATTGGCACAGGTGTACACAATGCTCAGTTTTACCATAAAATGCACAAACATTTTGGGGTCATCGCTGAAACTTTTTATTTATTTTGGCTGGAACTTTGGCTAAAAATTGTGAATTGTTCGCTCCAGTAGAATTTTGATTTTATTTCAAAATCCAATTCCCCAGTTCATAAACTACCAGAATCCATCAAAAAATCTGATGGCACTCACTTTCATCCAACACTTTTAGTCAAATTTGTCAGTCCCACTCCTATTTTTCGCAGTTTTCGAATCGAAATAATGAACATATCGAAAAACTGATAGTTTCATTCGATTTTTCATAGCCGATTACATAGGGAAAAGTTCTAACCTTAAAGATAATGAGGTACTAACGTCCGGTACAAGGCTTCAAAGATGGGTTTCTGAAAAGGGGAGAAAATTTTGGTCGCCCCGCCCCCTTTCATTGCGGTGCCTATGGCAAATACTCATTTTCTTGAAGATCATTTGCTAGAGTCTCACTTGCTAGAATTGACTCATTTGCTAGCGTATCTCATTTGCTAGAACTGTCTCATTTGCTAGAAATTTTCCAATTTTCAGAGTCTCATTTGCTAGAGACTGTCTCACTTGCTAGAGACCGTCTCACTTGCTAGAATTGACTCATTTGCTAGCGTGTCTCGTTTGCTAGAATTGTCTCATTTGTTAGAATTTTGTCTCATTTGCTAGAATTCCGTCCCTTTTTAAATACTTTTTGCATCCATGCTCCGGGGCACATAAAAGGAATGTACTTCGAGGGGAACTCATTTTCAGGGGATCCATAGCCTGAAGGATGAATCTATTTTGTTGTCCCATCGATCGATTTCTTCTTTGACTGTCATTGAAACTTTTGAAGAAAGTACAAATCTCAGTATTTGTATGAATAGTTTAAGTTGTAAAATATTGTCTTCTACTATTTTT